TATTATTATTATTATTATTATTATTATTATTATTATTATTATTATTATTATCAGTGGACACTCGCGAAGAATTAAGACAGTTAATTGGAAATATTTCTCGGATAAAAACTCCGGATCAAATTGCTAATGTGAGGCAGTCTACTATTCGCAAAAGCCATTTATGCAATCAACAAAACGGCTACAAGTTTAAATAACTACTTAAAAAAAGTGTTTTTTTTTATAAAGTTAGTTGCTTTTATTTGTGTTAGTTTTTAATTATCGTACTGTAGGTACATCCTTGCAATCCATATCAAGTTGTTTGTTACTACTATTCGCAGAAGCCATTTATGCAAAGAACAAAACGGCTACGAGTTTGAATAATTACTTAAAAAAGTGTTTTTTTATAACGTTAGTTGGTTTTATTTGTGTTAATTATTAATTATTGTACTGTACCTCCTTACAATCCATATCAAGTTTGTTACTATCTTAGTGCAGTTTTGGAAAAGTTAGAGATTTCTCTTAAAACCCAGCATGCTTTGTATTTTTTCTCAGAAAGGAAACGTTCTCTCGTAAAATATGGGGTAATAAATCCTAAAAATCGTATTTACTTCGTAACGGTGACAGATACGAAAAAATGTCAAAAGACAACTTCTGCGTAGAATTAAATGGTTCATAAAATTATATCTCTTTTAATTTTATCCAGGGCCGTACCACTTTTATTGCTGAATTAATGTCACTGATTACCTATAAGTCCACCATTAGTAGAGTTAGAAACTTACTATTACTCCCCTTTATGTCCCTCAATCCATGTACCGTGTGTCTAAAATTTGATTTAAATATCTTTGAAAACTTCGAAATAAAAAAAAATAAAAACTCTTTTTATTACAACTTTCACAGCTTGTAACTTTATTATCAAGGTTTAAGGATATTTATACGAAACTTTTTGCTTAAAATTAATTTTTCTATTACCTGTTCAAGGCACTCAATACGGGGACACCCTGTATATAATGACATGTGTTTAGCAAATACTAAAGTTAGTTCGTCATTCATACTGACTCACACTAATTGATATAGATAAAAAATAAAAAGGTAATTATGGCCGCAATTTCACTTTAACCTCACAATTAAAGTGATAATTTTTATTAGTTAGTTACAGAAAACTGATAGGGCTATAATAACATAAAAACCTACCATGGCACTAGTAGTTAGTAATTGACAGTTGAAGACACAACTTAATTCAAAATGAAAACTAAAACCGTCGTTATATTTTGTGCCCTAGCTTTTGTTACACAGGTAAATAATTGAAAGTAACAGTATAAAATACAGTGGCGGTTGGTGAAAATTAAAGCGGTTATATTTTGACAATGAAACATTGAACCCATAACGTTTTTTAGATAACGATTTCTATGTTGATGTAGAGAACTTTCATGATGAAATAATTTTCGTAACCAACTGATGCAAACATGTGTTTTTTTCCATGTCTGACAAAATATTTTTTTTATATTTTTAATTAACACTAACAATCTATTTTTCAAACTTCATAATGTGTAACTTTATAAAAAAATGTAAATTTGGGGAAAAATGAAAAAAGAGCTGTTTGTATCTATAAGTTGATTACAAAAAAAAAAAAAAAACATTTTATAAATATATATACAACTTATTTCCATGATCGACAACCCCAATTAAATTTTTTATTTCGCAAACTTTTTCAACGCGTGAAAGTTCTTTTTCTGTGTCCAAAAAATTTAATTTAAATGCAAATTGTATTTCAGAATATGAATCTATAAAAGAAACAAGGTCATTAAAGAGAGGCTCTTTTTAAAAATCTGAGAAAATATAATCTGAAATTTGGTATGTTCATGGCAAAACACCCTGTATAAAAGAGTGAATGTCTCACAGATTTTTAGTGGTTAGTTAACAAATCTCTTTCACCTCGTCAAATATTCTGAATGTAACTATTATTATTTGGAAGTTATTAAATTTAGCCAATCATGTCTTCCGCAAAATTTAAGAAATCTTGTAAACAATCTGGCAAGGCCGCAATCGAATGTAAAAATATTTGCACTACGATACTGTGAATTTTAATATGTAAAGCTATACAGAATGTATATCTTGAAAACTACATACCTATTGCTATTTTATATAACTTCTCTAAATTACCTATTGTTCCTGAGCAGCATGGCTTCATGCCTGGTAGATTGGCAGTGTTCAATCCTGTGTGCGACTCAATTTATTGCTAAGACTTTGGATGTGAGAGGTCAGGTGGACGTTATACATACAGATTTCACTAAAGCCTTCGACAAATTAGATCATGGTATTCGTAAACTTCACAATTGGTATCAATAACTCTCTTTTATTCATATTAAAATTTTATTTATCTCATCGTGTTCAGTTTGTGCAATAGTATTTAGTCAAACATCGGGCGTTCCTCAAGGACCAGTACTAGGACCATTGTTTTTTATTATTTTCATCAATGATATAGCGCAAAACTTTAACGTAATTTTTTTAATGTATTCCGACGATTTGAAAATTTATACCAATGTCAACTCTGTATCCGATTGTAATAGGCTTCAGCACAGCTTGAATTTGCTCATCATGGTGTGATAACAATCGGCTCCCCTTAAACGTTTCGAAGTGCAATGTAATATATTTCTCCCGTAAAACCAGTTCTACTCGGTTTAATTACAGCCTACGTGATCAGGTGCTGGATAGACCTGAGGCATATTAAAGAGTTAGGGGTCATCTTGGACCCAAAATTAACCTTCTCTGCACATGTCTGTCACAGGGGCTTACAATAAATTGGGGTTTATTCATCTCAATAGTATGGACTTTAAAAATATGTCTACATTACGTACCTTATATACGTGCTTTGTTAGACCCAAGTTAGAGTATTGTGCAAAACCGTACTTATCTTATCAACTTCCACGTCACCTGCTACATGGTGTTGTATAACAATGAAAAAGTAATATTAACGGTCGATAGAAGGAAGCACAAAAAGCAAGCACTTAGGTAGGAAATTCTGGAAGGAAGTCTAAATAGTTAGTTGAAGATAGGCAGTTGAAGTGAGAACAGCGCGGAGTGAAAAGCAAGACGATCAGTGTAGTGTGAAAAATATAGAAGTGGAAAATTAAGTGTTTAACCGGTATTTGTTAGCAGGTAATATTCTTTAAGTACTTTGTTGTTAATAGTTCTATGTAATTTTGTGATTGTGATGGTTATAGATGTTTCATGATAATAATTCTTTGTATGTTTAGCTTCCATTGCTTTATGCTCTAGGGCATATATTTTTCTAAGGTAAAATTATTATAGTTATTATTAACGATTGCTCATTATTTATTTCATGTTAATATATATATAAATAAAGTCGGGTCTGCAGTCAAAGCCAAAATTTTTAAGTGTACTCTTTTTTATTGCTCGAGCTTTCGGAACAAATTTATTCCTGCCTCAGGAGAAACTATAATGGAATATACATTGATAACAACCACAAGTAATAATCTAATTTATACTTACAAAATTGAGATTTGAATCAAAAAATTTTTAACCAAGTTTAAAACAAAATCCATCTGAATCATCAGTCACAACAGTACGATACTTGAAAATCTATTGTTAAAAACATTCCTTAACCCTATTGTTAACATATA